CGTGCGGTGCATGAAGGTTTTTCAGATGTTCTACATGAACTGAATCTCTGCAACAGTTGGTCGCAAGTGACAGTACGTCTGCGTGCCAGCTAAAGTCAAATGAAAAAATGACACCTAAGTATCTCACAGTTTAGTATGAGGTGACTAGACTGTTATTAGCAAACAAGGAATATGATGAGAAATCCAGGAGTGTTGAACTTCTTGCATTTCGCGTCATGCAGACTCATTCTGCAGTCTCAGGTGCGTTGAAACGGAGTCCGTTAGTAGACAAGCATTGGCATGTGCTCCCGATGGCTTTCTTGTATTTTTACCAGTCCCTCGGTGATTTTATGGATTTTGAAATAACAGATTTTTGGCGTAATAAAAATGCGTTTAAGAAATGGTGTGGCAAAGAACACAATTATTCGAGATGTTGAATGGCAAAGCGGAGGACGAAACCCTGAACTACTAGGGGAGCTCTTAGTGAGACCACCTTCAAGAATTTGCATATGCAAGACATAAGTGAAATAATTTCACCGTATAACCTGGCTCAGTGATTTATAAGTCGTTTTCTGCCACAATACTGAAGCAAATGAACTCTGATTGGTTTCAAACCGAAGATCATGAAGTATCAGACATGCCAGCTGATTTCGCTTGGCATCAACAGATCATCTATTTGAATAAGAAGAATCTTTCAGCACCTTTCTGTGTTAAAGCGTCTATACTGACGATTTACAGGCTCCACAACATCCAGCAAATATATGTGATTTCTAATGTAACGTCGCTTTATTATTCTGTGACCGTGGCGCTTGCATTCTATGATGATGGTATGCTTGGTACCCTTCTTTCATAAACCTCATAAGGAGGTTCTAATATCCGTTTCGACAGCGAACGAAATATGACATAAGATTATAGTTGTTTGCTGTATTATCAAAAGACTGCAATCTCGCAGAAAGAAGAAAACGCACTGCCAAGTGTTCAGCTCCATCAAGGACATCCTACTTGTAAACTCTATCACATCAAAAACGGTTATCTCTTCGATACTTGCGTATTGCCGTCAAAACAGTACGGCAGGGAATAATGGCCGTTGACGAAAGTGAATAAGACAAGATAGATGCTGGGGATTTCGCTCTGCGACATATAGCAAGTGTAACAATGAGACACCAAACCGGAGTGAACGACGATATCGCAAAAAGCAGGGAAAGCTAATACGATAAACTGGACATATGGCTCAGTTCGGTGACTACCGATGAATTATGGTCATCGCCGACGACTGGTTCTCACGGGATCGTAAAACATCGTTTGGTCGGCCTCCAGAGGAGTGGGACGATTTCTCATCTGGCACACAAGTACGACTGTGCCGACAGCAGGCTACAATGAGAGAAGAACTGAGGACGTTTTATGCTTGTGCTACCTACGTGATTGTTGAATAAGGGTTGGTCAAGCTAAATTGGCAAGCAATTTGTTTAGTACAGTTTCATTAACACGACGTGGTGTTCTTAAGGGGATACCCAAAGCTTGTCTCCAAGTTTAGTACTTTGCTACTGAGAGCTTTCGTAGTGCATGTCTATAGCAAGGCTATGTCTGAAGTGTTAATGTTATCGCTAACGTTCAACTGACGATATATAACTTCAGTACTCTAAGCTATAGCTTCCTCATTTCCTGTTATTCACTCGTTCAACGATGTCACAATATGTAGACACGCGCAGAATTCAAAAGCATTCATTTCGTGGCTTTTGAGCTTGTTCGCGGTGTGAGTACACGATGAGAGATCTTACGAACGTTATTCACATCCGTTAACGTCGTGGACCCATACTGGTGTCGCCTAGCATTCACAAAGAACCAAGAGGAAATAAACGAGAACTTTTAACTTTGATCCTGTACAACAGAACCGGGCAACTGTAACTCGCTTCCTTCATCTTGCTTTAATAAGCTGCAATCCGCATTTGCATAAAGTTGCGTTAAGTTGTATAGCACTACGCCAGAACCGCGAGACCCTCATTCTCTCCTTATTGGTCTGCTCCCTACTGTGTTTCTGCATTACAATAAATGCCTTCAAGAATCCTTTACAAAAATTAAAATATCTGATAAACTGCAACGTTGCTGCGATTTCATCTAAGACTAATAAAGTTTGAACACCATATTAACCAAAATTAGTGAAACATCAACTAGAAAAAATATAACCAATTTTATCAGTTCAGGTTCGCTGCATTACGCTAAATGTTAACTGTTCACAATTTAATTTAACATTAATGGGCATTAAACTAAATAATCGCCACCATCACCTGGGACGGCAGGTATTCAGCGACGAATCGCGTTGGTCGCATCAGTTTCTGTTGTCGTGGTATATAAAGTCCTGACATCTGCTGCCAGGGCTGACAGCGACCTGGCGAATTTCGTACAGACGTGTCCTCCAACTGAGCAAGGATTTTTATCAAAGTTTTCTTTTCTAGTCTTTGAGGAATCGACGTCTAACCGTAATGCAGCAGTGATATTAGCGGTCTTTTTCCTTTAAAGAGGCTGGTCGCTTTTGCCTCGCCATGAAATTATCATTGGGCATTGTGATTTTTTCCTCTGAGGATCGAACTTGCAAGCTCGAATACAACCTCAGCGACTGCTTATCTGTAGCAGATTCAGAAAGAAAACCAGATTATGATTTACAGTACCTCAGAACATAACTGCCGCTTGAGTTAAAGAGTGACAAGACTGTCGGCGCCGTGAAACGAAACACAAGCAATTACATAACATTTGCTGAGATGTTCATCGGACTTCAGTCGACGACAGGGGATTCTAAACTGGAAAACAGCTCAACGCAGACTACGATCACCGCAAACACTATCGCGGATTTTAGCCATCAGTTTCTATGCACAATACTTTAGAAAAGAAAGGTGGGGAAGAAGATTAAAGACAATCGTGATAACAATGCCTCTGACTTTAGAGTTGTGCTATTTATTACTCGGTTTTGTTTCCGAATTTAAGCTAGGTCACGAAACACAGATTTCTCTATGTTCTAAGTTTTAAACAGTGTTGTTTAGGCTAGAAAACAAACTAGGTCCTGTGCGATGCTCACCGTTCGACAATCCTGGTCCTGGAAGTAGTTCAACTGAGGGCTGTAGGAGCTTTCGTCGGTAAAGAGAGCGTAGGTGGTGCCGTGCCTAAAATTCGAACCATAGAATGTTACGCAAAACACGAAGGTGATCATCGGAAGTAAACGACATGGTTTTCTTGACAAAACGAACACAACGCAAAGAAAGCATTCCGTTGGGTGGCGGAGGTGGAGGGGGGTGCCTGAGTTGTGACACCAGCTGCAACACGGTGCCCGTCGAGCAATCGAACAACCATAAAACGAGGCAACACGTTTCATGGCAGCCGCAACTGCAGCGTCGTGTCGGGTTTACATGGAAACTGATGTCAAAAACAACGACGACCGCCGACTGATCTTCAAAGCATCGGTTGTCGGTAGGCAAGCAGCCATGTCATCGCGAAAGGATCGCCTAGCCGCAGCGGTAACTGAGGAGTCATTCAGACTCGTGCCTCATCTATGCATCGCACCAAAATCTAGTTAACCGATCACAATCGATGCTGACCACGCGCAATCGATAGAAGAGATATCGTCAAAATGCAAATTGCTTAGATACATACAGATGGATACCGAAAAATCCCTCGCAGCTTTCGACTGCCTCCGTTGAAGTTCTCTTCAAGTATTCCGAAAGCAAGCACATTTTCATTTCAGTTAGGACACTCACATCCGTGAGGACTCGTACAGACTCTGTAAACAGAACCATCATTGTGGTAACTCTCCTGACTACTCGAATGCTTCCTACTTGATCGCCTGTCTTCCATTTCTCAGTTAGTTGAATTCTTTATTTTTGAAAGGTCATTTCGTAGGTGATTAATGACAGATTTCCATAACAGCTTTAAAATAACGGTTTTCAACAATACATAGCAAGCAGTTTCATCTGAACGTTTCGAACAGTAAATCGCATTCTTCTTCGGTAAGACCTCTATCAATCCTCACTGATATTTCCTGTACTGGAAATCCAAACTCCCCTAAAGACTCTCACAGGTTCTGCTACAGAACAACAATGATTCAGTGTTCGAAACATTCCGACTGTGTTTTGCATAACCCAGTTTATAACAAACTGTTGGCTCTGCGTTGTACCGAAATTGTTTCGAAGCTTCTAGAAAACGAGCTGTTTATTCATTGAAATTAGTCGTCAATTATAAAACTTTGTATCCTTTGGCTTTCAGCTTGTACCACGAATGGACAGCATAAATGATCATTTTGCCCACTCTTCATCAACCTATTTCGATGGATAAATAACTCGCTTTCTAGCAGCTTCCAAACAGTTTTCATACATTGCACTACGCAGAACTTTATCTGAATGTTTCGAACACTGAATCATAGTTTTTCAGTCGAGCCTGAAGAGTTTTCAACGAAGTTTGGATTTCCAGTAGAGGGAACATCCATGATGATTTGTAAAATCTCTACTGAAGAAGAAAAGCGAGTACTATTCTAAAAGTTCAAGCTAAATTATGTATAATGTGATATAAAAAATAAGGATACTTGTGAAGTCTACCCATGAACAGGAAACAGGAAACATCGGGACCATGTTTTCGGTTTGATTAAATTTTGTATAATTGTTCATTGAAAACCAAAGCTTTGTGTATTGCTAAGAACCGCCTAAAAGCTGTTATGGAAATCTGTCACTAACCGCTTCTTAAAAATAAAGAATTCAATAGTTACGAGTTCATTAACCCAAATATGCAAGTTAGGCACATGCAGTAGGAAACATTCGAAAAGTCACAGAAACTACGATGGTGATAAGAACAATACAGTAATGGTTCAGTCCTTCAGTAGGTTAAACTTATAATAAGGTAATAAACATTTTTAGTATGGTAATAATGTAAAAAACAGGTTTAGTAGTTTTATATGTTTAAAGACAAGGTGCAGTTTATCAAGCGATATTAACTTATGCTTCGCACGGTATGCTGGTCAAGCCAACATTGTGATACCCGTTTTGCACCTATAATTACTGGAGCTATAATACTGTCTCAACATCCTTATCCTTCGCAACTTCCTAGTTGATGTCCTCAGCCATGGATGAACCAACAGTTTTCGCGGTGTATCTAAGGCGCTTTACGACAAACTCTTCCCGACGCCTCCTGTACGATCAGAAAGAAACGAACATTGTCCTAGAAACTGACTGACCCGCTAGGATGAGAGTCCCGATCCTCAAATCTCACTGACCCTTTACAGATCAACGAACATAACAGAGTAGTCAGCTCCTCTGCGAAGTGTAACGTTGATAGTGAATAGTATATTTGCACATATTATCTTTTATAAAACTGAATATTTCGTTCGTGCATAGATATTCATACTGAAAAACAGCACAAAATGCTTTAATACACAACGTAGCAATAGTCCGTTTGGGCCACCCTCGTTTCACAACGTTTCACAACGCCTTCTTTAGGCCAAAGATAATGGTAAGGTTCAGAGATCGTTCCAGTCACCTGTAGCAAGTCATAAGTCTGAAACATTGAGAGAACCTGAATGATCTGATGCTGCATAGCTGCAAAATACTGGCCCCCAGTAATTAAACTACCTCTACTGTAACGGAAATCATCAACTCCATACACCATAAGATCTAGAGATGTCTCTAAAACATAATGTGCAACGGAATCTTAAGCTGCCCGATAGAAGAATGTCACACATAATTCTCAACGCTTAAATCCCTTCATTTTCTTTCGTTTCCTTTCAACCCAATCAACTGAGTTGCGGCCTCAAAACCATCCTCCTCTCGTCCTTGTCGTCAGATGGAGGAGAAAATGTTCAAAATAAGGAATTGCTTGACAGAGTGAAGTACAGTGAGGTCTGTTCCCCTTTAGCCACTACTGTAGATGTGTCGGGAACCACAAAATGGTCGGCCAACAATGCTCTGTTGGACTGCTAGAAAATTCTGGCTGATGGTCATAACCAGCCAGTGAATGGGACGCAACTACTTGTGTTCAACCGGTCGGCAAACGCGCCCTTATTCGTGAAACCTAAAGGGGCATCTGGTTTAATGTGGCTGCTTTTCTGCTCCACACGTTTCCTTTCTCCAAGAAGACACTGTATTAAAAACAACCAAGCAGGAGAAACATGAATTCGAACTGCTTCACCATGGTATCGATCGCTGGTTCGTCAACGCAGTGGTCCGAGAATGTTCTTCTGATTGGCACAAAGTCCTCCTCCTCCCCCCCCCCACTCCGACGAGTACGCCCACAGATCGCACAGGAGCAAGTTTCGTCTGCCAAATCGCTTGAAGCGAAACTACAGTGGAGATCAGTTCCAAAAATAACTTTCTCACTCATAATAACTAGTTTAATAGCTGATTTAGACAATAACTCCAAAGTCATCTGCATATGCTGAAAAATAGTATAACGAAACAGAGGAAAGAATCGACTGATAAGCTGAAAGAAAGCGCTTTGCGACAAACGTTAAATAAACCATAAAAACGCGCCGTTGAGGACCCTGAGGCCGTTCTGATCTAAGCGACATGTCCAAGCGCAGGTCGCACGGTCCCGTCACATGATGGCGTCAGTTACTCAACGGATATCAGAACATGAACGACGCATACGAATCAACATTAAATCATAGGTTCATCACGACGGTGACGGTGTCCTAGGAAACGCCAGTAAACAGTGGAAAAGTAACCTGGTGTAATCAATTAATTATCCTTCTGACCAGCTTACTTAACACATCGCTACGCCTCGATATATTTTTAGAAACAGTCAAACAATTTCTATCAACTTTCATTCTCTCCAATTAAGGTATACAATGAGCAAGAACTTGGACCAAACGAAGAACGGGAAAAATTCACTTCTCACATCATGGAGGGCTACGCTTCTCTGCAAGTGCGAGAATCGGTGCAACAAGACGTAAAAACTCCTGTAACCCCCGGATTCGTACGGCGTGGCCGCGCTGTCCCCTTGCTTCTACTAACCCAAGGAAGCGTTTCAGCCGGCCACGACTCCAAAGTATTTTCTCACCCGCAGTGCAGCACCTGGGCACAAAACAGCAAATTTATGTTGGGTCGAAGATTAAACTTTTTCAACGACAGCGGATATACTTCGATCCATAGGCATATCCTCATCTCCATTTGAAAAATCCAATCTACGATCTGTTCTTCTCGTAACGCACCTTCAGGGTTGATACTGACCTCTTCACTCAGGCAGTGGCATCGAAGACTCTTCTTTGGGCTCTAATGCACTCATTTGTCTCCCTATCTTTTAGTGTTACTCGAAACACGCATGGTTTCCAGTTGCACCGCATAATTTGCAGCTTATGAATAGCTTTCAGACCTACGGTCGAAGTTTCGCATCCATAGGTTAGCACAGGGAAAAACAATGAACAAATACTTCTCGTTTCAAGCAAAGGAAGGTCTCTTTCCCGGAGAAGAAACTTTTTTGTCTTCCAAAAGTGCTTCATGCCATTTTTATTCCTCTGTTGGTTCCACAAGGTCGATCTCTGTTGAAAACATCGTCTCACCTCTCACCTTTCCTCAGGCTCATTTTCAGTTCTACTTTGATGCTGGCATTGCTTAGTTCTTGCATCCTTTCTTATAGTTCTTCTGGTGATTTTAACAAGATCAGAATATCATCCGCAAACCGCAAATGGTTGTAGTACCCATTTATCGTTAGCCCGTGATCTTCCCAATGGACTGTCTTGAAAACCATTTCTAAGCTGCCGAGAATAACTTCAATGATATTGCATCATCCTATCGAATGTCCTTTTCGATTCTGAACTTGCTTGTGCGCCGGTGAAGCCCCAAGCACTATCAATTGCATTATTTCATATTATGGCGATGAAGTGGCTGTATCTTTCTTTGATCCTCTGCCTGTAAACTGAGTCGAGAGCCTTCTCGAAATCAACTAACCCAATAGAGAGAGTAAGCTGATATTCGCTGCTTGTCTGAATTACTTGTTATAACACCCCCTGAGTGTGATCAATGCTATTAATATCGCTTGCGAATCTTGCTTGCATCGTTCACTGTGCAACGACCAGTCTTTCTTGACGTCTGTTAGTCAGTACCTTGGGAAGATCTAGTAAATGATTGGTAACAAACTGATTGCCTGCAATTTTTCAAATCCTTTCTGTTTCTCATACTCCGGA